AACAAAATCAATCATATCACTACGTACAATTAAAAATAGTGGTTCTCACGCTAGGACTTGGTTCTCATTTGAACCACATCCTATATATATAGGATCAAATGAGAATGATTGAGTGAAAGAAATAAGAACGAATTTGTAGTCATTGGATGTGATATGTAATGGGTGAGTGAAAGAAATAAGAATGAATCATAGTCGTTGGATGTGATATATCAACGCTCCATGGCCGATCAAAGGTTCCAACACTGCTGAAAGGGGTGCTGGCATTGCTGTAATTATGTGTACTTTTGATTTTTCACACGTTGACAGTTTCACAATTGCGCAAACTACAGTGTTACACTATTGGCATTTTCAAAGGCACTAGTGTGCATTTCATATAACACTGTTGTGCATTTTGTAATGCGGTGACATTTAGGTAAATTCGTGAACTTTTAAATGTGTCGGCAGTGGCAATTCTGCAATTTCTAAAAAAATATGGTAGTATTTTTTAATGTGCATATGCATGAGTTACATTGTCAATTTCACCTACAATTATTGTGCAATTATAAAACTTTTGTTAAGTTACATATTTGCCTGAAGGACTAAAATGCAATGTGTTTAATTTTAGAATTACAGATTTGCCTGAAGAACTTAGTGTATTTCAGTGAATTTTGAAATTTCGTGATTTGGAGTTGAAACAGATTTTATATGAATTTTCAAAGTTAGATAAGCATGCAGATTTTATAAACTAGGGCAGAAATGTCGACCTTAATTCATGGCTGTTTTTGATGATTTTAACGTGCCTGAATAAAATTTGTTTCTTCATGAATCATGTAGTACATATTATAAGCTTTCATTAGGAGTTGAAATCATATAATTTGGAGTTTTGGTTTATTTTATATGATTTTTCTAAGTTGGTGTTATGCCCAGAATTTTGAAGCAGTGGCTGTGTGTATGCATGAAATGTATGCTCTGAATAGATGCCTTTAACTTAATGATATGTAAACATTCTTTTCATAAAGTTTGTAGGTTTCCTTGTGTAGTTTCTGCAGGTTTTGGATTTATATGATTTGGAGTTCCATTTGATTTTATATAATTTTTTCAAAGTGAGTAGTACACTCAGTTTTTATGAAACCAGGATTTTATTTAAGTGTTGAATATGTACTCTGTTTAGATGACCTAAAAGTGTTCTTATGAAAAAGTCTTCTTCATGAAATTTGTATATCTTCATATGTAGATTCTGTAGGTTTTGAGTGTGTATGAATTGGATATGTGTAGCTTGAGTTGTTGCTATTTTACTAAGGTGCTGTATTTTCGAAAAATTGTTTTCTGGCTGTTTTTGCAAACTAAATTTTTTATATTCAAATTCATTGATAATGTTATAATTTTCCAATCGGGTGTTAAGAGAATTTGTATAGAATTGAGTTAGCTACCTTGGTGCTTTTGAATTCTAGTAATATCATGTCTGTAGCTTCGGTTATTGTGCATACACTGAGAACCTATCAAGCTGCATATCTTCATTTATCCACTGCACCTATGTTTTGGATGTTTGCTGCATTATGTGCCTTTAAATGACTTTATCTGCCCGAGTGTTCTTCATGAAAGTGATAGAGGCATGAGTTAGATATATCTTCCAAGTGGTTTCATCATGATATGATTTGTAGACTGAAAGCTACATGCATTTTAAATTCATCACGCATGCTAATCTAGTGGAAAAAACTCTTTTTATATCGGGTGAAAGTGACTTTTTATATCGGTTTCAGCTTCGATACAGTTTCAGCCCATATAATAAGTGTCACCTTTTTATATCGGGCAATACCACATATAGAAAGTAAACTTTTTATATAGGGTGAATGAATCACCCCATCTAGAAGAGACATATGGAAAGTCGGATTATAGAATACCTGATATAGGAAATATGCTTTCTATATCGGGTGAAGGAATCACCCCATATTAAAAAATATCTTTTTATATGGGTTGGATTTTGAACCCGATATAGAAAATCAGATTCTTTTTATATCATATTTTATTACCCGATGTAAAAAGTAAATAAATGGTTATTTTTACCTATTTAATTTAAACAAAATATACCATCAATACAACTAAATAGATAAAAATAAAACAAATTTATTAAAATTAGTTCATTATCAATAATACCGACGGAGTATAACATTTCCCAAAAAACTAACAATACTAGGAAACTCAAATAGTTCAACATAAACTAAATATTCCAAACAAAAGCCTATATAGTCTACTACTTTGCCGATGAGGTGATATCGAGAAAAGTACTTGGTCCACCGTCTCTGTATATCATCAATTTCTTCTTCCACGTATGTTTCTTCCAAATTAAACACCTAATTGAAAAACATAAATAACAATAAATCAAGACTAAAAGAACATAACACTTAAGATAATATAATATTGATATCTAAAGAGTTTTATTGTTATTATTATAAAAAATTACCTTTTCAAACTCGTCAACAACGTCGAATTTTATGATTTCCAACATATATTATCTCATAACATAATACCCTCATTCTTCACCTCCTTTTTGTCGGTGACACTTAAATAAAATAAAATAAAAAATTATATAATAATCAAAACATACAACAGATGACCACATCTACTTAGCAAGAATACTGACTGTCATACAAGACTAAAAATTATGGAACATGCTCTCATATATGCATAGAAATTCGCCAGAGAAGAGTTATATTGACTAGTACTATCATAATTACCAAATGAAACCAAAAGATAATGCACTAGTACTATTATAATTACCAAATAAATAAACACAAACACAGAGGAGTTATATTGACTTTATTTGAGAAATATATGTACCTTTGGATAAACCTATGTCAGCTTCTTTCTGAATATAGTGTCCCTTCATGACTTTGCATGCTCTAAGTGCCCTGACACGATTATTATATTTAAAATTAAGTGAAAATAAAATATCAAATGTAAATCATGTGAAAAGAAAATGTTGAATACTAATTTCAAACGTACATGTTGATTTTTTTCATCAAATCCGTCTTAGGCTTTTTCGATAAGGAACAAAACCAAGCCACCGTGACATTCCACAAAATAAGATATGCAATTTTAATATTACTTTCTTATACGCGAATCATAGTATGTTAAATATTATGAAAAAACTATTTCTTACTCGTGCAAAAAAACATTTTAAATCTCCTTCTGTAAGTCTCGTTTGAACACGCCGCTACTTGTTCCTTACTGTTGCCAATGTTTTGGACCAAGAGTGGACACATCCATCCAAACTTACCTTCTCTCCCAGAGTCCTTCAATATTTTGTACAAGTACCTGTGAAATATGAAATTGGGTTTTTGTTACTTTCAGATACGAGTAATCCTTCAAAGAAACATGCATAACAATGCAGCCAGATATGTGAGGGGAAACAAAAACAAAGAATAGTTTTAAATGAAGTGACCTTTTCCACGATGTCTACTTTGTCAAGCCGACGCTGAATTCTGTCACCAATGCACATACAATACAACACATATCTAAATTTTAAGTGAATTATAAACCATCATAGAAGTAAACTGAAGAAAGAAGTCGTCTCTCATTCAATGATAACTTCAAATTCAACGAATATTTTGATATGTAATATAGAAATAGGAGTTTATACTTCAGAATAAACATGTAAAATTAACCACAATTATAATGTGACAAATTATTGATAATGTGAAAATTACCATGCAATGAGGGCCAAGCCACAAGAAGCACCAACCAACAAACAACTGATCAATCGTGCACTATACCAGAAGATACAACATTTTTAGTTATTCCTTTTTATCAAAGAAACGACAGATCTCAGAATAATATTTGAACAATATAATAAACTAGTACCATCTATTATGACCACATCAAAATGACCACTACTAAGAATCAGTCAGCAGATAATGTAGTTTGGGTATTTCCTATCATATGCTCCCCTCATAGATACTACAGGCATTTAATGTCACAGTTGATATAAAGAAAAACAAAATAAAAAAATTGAATAATTTATGTATGTTTGTGGGGGGAGAAGACGGTAGGGACCCATTGGGATCTGCTGAGATATCAAAACATACAAATCTATTAAACAAGTTTTTTCATCCAAAACCATATACAAAATCTCCCACTTTGAAAAACATCCTGTCAGGATGGATAATCCTTTTGTTATCATTAGAAGAACTAATATGCCTTGAAACTATGGATAGGCACTCATAAGAGCCATATAACCTTGAGACAGTTATCCCATAATATTTAACTTGCCCGCTTTCAATCTCAAACATCATGCATAGTTGCATACACATGAATGATTCAGCTCAATAAGAATTAAAGATGTACTCTTTCCATCACAGAATAATTTTTAACCCCTAGGAAACATTCACCAACTAATAAAATTCATCACATAGTAATCCCTACTAAAAGTAGTTTCAATAAATAAACATAGGAAATGGAAAATAACAGCACGAACATTTACAAATGATTGGTTCAAAGCTCAGAATAAGAATATAACTTGTTATTGAATTAACATGTCAAAAGTACATAAAATGGATCACTTTGATCATCTTCAGCCATTGAATTTTATAAGGTACAACAAGCAAGGTTTAATACACTCAAACCAATACAATTCAATGAATCATATAACTAGATTATAGACAACAAGAAAAGGCAGTTGAACAAGAAAAATGCAGGCATCAGAAAATAATTAGAACAATCAAAATCAACTCACGAGACTAATAAGATTAAAATTCGTATTGCAGAAAATTAAAAAGTTCCACTCATGGATTTCATAGGCAATTCATTCAACAAGCATTAAAAAAAAAAATGCTTTTACAATCATAATGAATACCCAACCATCCTAATAAAAAATCAATTCAGATAATAGATTTTCACCTATGCTTAGAGTTTCTTTTAGTTTAAAATGAAAATATCATGTATCAAAGACAGAAGATTAAAAAAAAATGAAATCAAAGGTGCTGCAGCATGTGAAATACATCTGAGGGAGACAGTAGGGCAACTTACGGCAGAGGTCTCTGTGTCGACGGTCTGTGGCGGAGGCGGAAGGAAAGACAAGTGTTCAACAAGGGCGGGGACTGGAACTTCACTCCGGACTGAAGTGGGGGTTGAAACTTCACTGACGGACAGAAGCAAGGGCTGGGATCGAACGTGTTCACACCGCGCAGAGGCGGGGCTGGAAAGACGGAGGCGGCGATTGAAAATTCAAGGTGAACGGAAGCAGGGTTTGGAACTTTGCGGTAGATGAAAGCTATGTTCACGGCGCGTGGTGGCGGGGCTAGAACAACGGACGCGGCGACTGGAACTTCACGTCGAACGGAAGCGGCGGGGTCTGGAACTTCACGGCAGATGGAATTTTTTTTCACGGCGTGCGGCCGTGGAGGCTGGGCAGGAAGTGCATAGTCGATCAGTAGAAATTCATGTTTACCCTAGTGAATTACTTTGTGTAATTTTGATTTATGTTATATTTGATTTATTGAGTTTTTGTATGTGGTGAATGTTTACTACATATAGATAATTTATATTTAATATGTGGTGGAAAATAACCTATGTTAATTTTGATGGGTCTTGGGTTTCTATATGGGGTTACTAAAACCACATATACATAACAGTAATTTTATTACAAAAATGCCATCGTCCTACTTTCTATATCGGGGTATGTTACACCCGATATAAAAAGTGGCCCCTAGAATGTGTTTTTTCTACTAGATAAAAATTGGTGCAAGTTCTTGTTTAGGTTTCCAAATTGGGTTGTGAATTTCAAAAACTAGCTTTTCGTCAATTTTCATGTATATGTGACTTATGTGACTTAGTTTGTTCAGTATTATAATGTAGCTGGAAACACTTGCGAGAGAAGCATTACGCTAGACCTCAAAGTGTGGAAGCTATAAGTTGTATATGTGGTCGAACTCGTTTAGGACCGCCGGTGTAATATCCCGTTCTTTTGTTAATAAAAGTAATATTCTTAGTTCCGAGTTCGAACTATTTTTACTTTTATTAATATCGCTCGTTTTTAGTATTCGAGCCAAGTTAGTACATCATTTAATTATAATTTTGATTTTAAGTCGAGAATAATTCGATAAATCGTCGAAATTAAGTCGCGATCGAAAAATCGAACAAGTTCGGTTCGATTAATGTCAATTTCTTTTGCAAACCCTAGCCGAGTTTTTACATCATTTCCTTAGCATTTTCTTAAGTTATTAATATCATTATTTTGAGTTTAAAGTATGATGAAGATGTAAGCCAAACTTGGTCCAAGAAGTTCATACACAAAGTAGGTGCCGCGTATGATTGCTCTCGCGCCAGCTCGCGTCTTCCTCACGCCATCCGTTCATTATTGTGCATAAGTGAGGTTAGTCCCAATATTAATGACCTATCTTAAGGTTAGTATGGTCAAAGTCCTTAGAATACCAAGAATTCTTGGAATTTTTATGAGAAATACACCTAAGACCATGACTAAGTCAACATAAGGACACTTGTTTTTACCTTAAATTTTCTTAGACCATTACTCATCTCCCACCTCTTAACCACGGATATAGGAGCTTAAAATCAGATGAAAATGAAGTCTTTTACTTCAAATACGCAGAAAAAACTTAGAAGTTAGGAGAAAAACCGAAACATAGCGACCGAGTTCGTGAACGTACGAAATTGTCGAGAAGAAGCCCTAGCACCATCTTCTTTGATCTTTTGCTTAGTGATTTGAAGAGGTAAGAACCCAAATATTAGCTTGTTATATAGCTGAGTTATAGAGCTTTAATATGTGCTAGGATAAGCTGAAAGTTCAAGTTTTCAAGTGAGCATAAATTTATAATAAGTATAAAGGCTCTTCATTCATGTACATGAAGCATATGTCCTGTTTGAGTTCGATTCTGTGCATGCTATGATCAAATTAATAAAGTAAGTTGAACATATGTAATTCTTGTACTTGTGCTGAGTATTTTCATGAAAGAATCATGTTATTTGAATAAGTATAGCTCGAGTTACAAGTATTTGAAATTTAATGTGCAAAGTAATTTTCGAGTACTTTGTTTGAGCTGCCACTTAAAATGCGAATATCTCAGTCCATACACATGCTATTAACATAAACGTTTTATGACATGTTAACATATGAGTTAAGAGTATGACTGCTCAATTTCAGCTCAAAATGATGAGAAAAGAACAAGATAAAAATGTTAGACCACCAGCATGTCAAGTTGATCTTAGTTGCAATAGAACTGATTCTACACTCATGCTTATGATGTGAAAATTTTATGAATATTTCTTGTATGAGTGATGATCAAGATGACCAAGTTTCAGCTTGATATGATAAGTATGGAATTTTATAAAATTCTTTGAAGTTATGTGTATAATTAGCATAAGGCAAATTTGCCTCTAATATCACGACCATTATCGAAGTTGCAATTTAATCATGACCTTTTCACTTTTGTAAATTATATCACAATGTTTAGTTTGTTGCAAACTGTAATGCCCCGTTTATTTGTGGATTATTATTATTATTATTATTATTATTATTATTATTATTATTATTATTGTGATAATATTAATTATTGCTTGCCAAATTGAATGTCTAAATATTATATGTCTAATTGTCAAATTAATTGCTAATTGTATATTTTGATTATTAATATTATTATTTTAAAATAATGTATATAAATTTTTGTCCGAGTTGTATTTATTTAATTGTGCAATTAAATCGAGCCCGAGAGCCGAATTATTTTAGCGAAATCTACGCGCAAACCGACTCAACCGAATCGGCCCGCGAGCCGCTAAACCAACCCAGCTCAACCCAAACCGCCCAGGACTCGGTTTTTATTTTCCTTCCTTCCGTGCGTGACGTGTGTGTGTGTCTTGGTGTCAAAGACTTTTTAAAACCTAGTCAATGTGTATGTATATATATATATATATATATATATATATATATATATATATATGCGCCTGTATCTATCTCCCTCTTGGAGAAGTCTCATCCCCGCATTCGTTCTTTTTCTTTCTCTCGCGCAAGACATCCCGCAGCAACCACTGGATCTCACCTCTCTCGCTCAATCTCTCTTGTTTTCTCTCTATAAGTCGATCGCGCAGCCTCAGATTTTCCTTCTCTCTCTCTCTCAATCTCGCGTGAACAGAGAAGAGAGAAAAGAATCGCTCATTTTATTTTTCCAATCTCCACCCTCCGCACTTGTGATTCCGACGATCCCCCACAGCAACACCGCCTGCTCGTCGGCCTTCGACCCTCGAAATCTCCGTCGTCGTTCTCAAGCAGAAACAGGTCCAGCGACCTCAACGCCGCCGTGTATCGCCGCTTCCCCCGCGAGCTCTTATCTTTTTCCGCGACAAGCCGCAGCGGACGACCCTTGCCGTGAAGCTCCGTCGCCTGCAACTCCTCATCAGCCGCGAAGGCCTCGCCGTGAACCCTCTTCCCCGCCACGCTCGATCGTGACTGCAACTTTTTCCCGCCGACGAGTTTGCAGCAAGCCCCGTTCCGCCGCTGCAAAAACGCCATCGCGAGCCTCCTCGGCGACCTGCAAGCCCCGACAGCGAGCCTCCCTCCGCCTGCGAGCTCTTCTCTGGCAACTGCTGCGTAGCGCCTCTGACGAGCCCCTTCAGTTGCTGCCCCTATTTCCCCGGCAAAACGCGTGAAGCCGTCGAGCCCGTCGAGCCGTCCTCTTCCGTTCGAACCATTCTCGCGTTTCCCGAGAACGGTATCGAGCTTCGACCTTTGCTATTTATTTTCGTGTTCTCAGTTTAATGTGTTAGTCGTGCATCTCGATTTTATATGCTATATGTTGACATGTGAATAAGTATTTTCATGTGAGTATTGTATGTATTTTATTGGCGTGAATTTAATGTGAAATTCGTCGATTCGTGTGAATCGAATGAGAACTCGTTATAAGTGATTAGTTGCTGTGGATTTAGGGACATAGGATTGTTACGAACACAATGGCGATGACCTTGTGTCGATTGGACTTGTAAATTTGAAGTTATGAATTTTCGAAGTTCATAATCGCTGTTTTGAATGCGAAATTCGCCATAAATCGTGTACTGATCCAATTGCCTTGAAATTTTAGTTATAGCTGCTACTCTTGAAATTTTAGCTTGTGTAAAAATTTGATAATTTTTCTCGACCTGTAGCTATTTTTAAAAATTAAATTGATTTCTGTTCAGATTCTTGTTAAATGCATAATTAATTTTGTAGTACTCCAATTTGGCTGAAATTCGATTATGTTATGTTTCTAGCATGTTTATGTATTGTGTAAAATTATTAGGATTTTTGGACTAGGTTTGATAGGGTTAATAATTTAATTGGTGTTTCTGCCCAAATTTGTTTTAATTCTGATAAATTGGTCCGAAGCTGAAAAATTCTGGATTTGGTCGAGGTGCTGATTTTGTGATGTCTAGCGTGCTGTAAAAAGTTTAGAATTTTTGGAGTTCGGTTAGACTCAGTTTTGATATAAATTTGATAATTGGCTGAATGTTGTTTTAATTTTATAAATTCATATACTGAGTTTTAAAGGCTGATATTGTTATGTGTTGCTGTTCACATGCTGATGTTTCTTAGATAAAAATTTCATGGCCTGAATCGTTCATTAACTTGTGTTTCTGATTTAGGCTCAATTTTATTAAAAAACTTGTTTGAATTTTATAAAATTGAGTATGACGAGTTTGAGGCTGAAACTTGGTGTTTTTGCTAAATCTGGGAGGTGAATTTTATGTAAAATTTTTAGGGCCTAACTCGTTGGTTTGATATACTTTCAAATGCAAGTGTGAATTTTGACAATTTTTTTATATGGTGATTTTTGGTTAAATGTTGGTGATCACATCTCGTTATGAGTTACCGGTGACTCGTGTGATTGTCTTTCATTTGCGATTATGTGAACTTGAATATGTGGTTTGATCGAGTCTAAGTCCTAGTGTTCCCATATCCACAGAACTTCACGAACCACTTGGTCGAATCAAGTTCGGCTAAGTCAATTTGTGAATTTTCTACTTGGGTCTAGATTAAAGTGTTGAATTTAGTATCTGGACTTAATGTAGGTGTTTAGAGGTGTTGACCTCGTCCTACTTTCGAGATTCGTGATTTGTTGCTGCATCCAGGTGGGTACATTTATGATGTATTCCATATTTATCGCACTATTTATTTCGTATAATGCTTCTTTTGAAAAATGAATGTATGCGTGAGAACCCTAGTCTAAGTATCCTATTGGTAGTGCCTTTGACGAATGCATAACAGTGAGAGGTCACATGCCCGTTGTATCCGGGAGGAGACGCCCTGATCCGTGTGTGTTTCGGGGGGGAAAAACATTTCTACTGTCTCCTGGAAAGCATCCATGATCCGTGAGTAGTTCGGGGTGGAAATTTTCCAGTTACGGCCTTGTCGATGTCTGGTCGGAAGGTTTGTTGTATGTACATAGGA